TTATATAAGATTAATCTGTAGGCACTCACGCATGCTTATGCTTAATAATGTACACAATCACATAAACATTCATATATCCTGAAAAACAAAATAAATAACACTTCTGCACTGTTGTCACAGTATTTCTATGCTGTTGTCACCAGTATATTATGATGTTTCCTTCCATAACTGCATGATATTTGTGGATTAATATATTGGAAAAAGGGACTAACTCTTCCTGAATGAATATAAAATACTCATTGTATTGCAGCTGCTATGGTTAACAAATAAGAAGTGACCTTGCAGAGTGTAAGGATGTGTGAATCGATACAAAACTGTAGACATGCATTTAAAAAAAATGTTTGTATTAAAAGTGTAAAAATCACCTAGTGACATCAACAGATATTTCTCTCTCTTATTCCTAATAAAGCAATAGCATTACTTGTGAAAAGCATGAAATACTTGAGTATATGGATTTTGTCAGTGAAAAGATGTACATATATTTAACTCTGAGGGCGTCAGGGAGACTTCAGCAGATGCCCAAGTGCTTAACTAAATCAGAATAAATCATCTCACTCCAGCCACTCTTTTGTCCTCTTCATCTATACAAAGGGAAACCTACAATCAAAACAGACCAAGCTCTTTTTGCATCATGCGTTATTGGGAGTTTCACTGTGTTGACAAGACTGTTGGGTTAAAGTATGGCTCTGTTTTTCTCCCTGCTGTCATATACACAACCCATCATCAGCTTGTGTTGGCATTTTGTACTGACTTGTGCTATTTGATGGGGAGACAGGAATAAGGAAGGGAAAATACTCTCCCGATGTTTGCTGTGACTACCTTTTGCAGTATCACATAGCTTAACTTTTGTTCATTCTAGGCTTGGGAAACAAAGCAAAAGCGTAGTTCACACAAAGGAGCACGTTGTGCTGAGCACGAATCAGTCAGCTAGAGAGAAAAGGATTTGGCCCCAAAAGTAAGCTAGCAAAATTGAACGTAGACTTTTGTTATTCATCGCCCTCAGACCCCTTGACTATAATCACAGAGTAGAACAGAATCATAGAATGCATTGGGTTGGAAAAGTCCTTTAAAGGTCATCTAGTCCGCCACCGCTGCAATGCCAGGGCATCTTCAACTAGGTCGGATTATATATAATCTTCTGAGGTGATTTGGTAGCTGAGCAGTTCAGTATACAGCAGTATTGAGCCTCAGGTCTTTCACCTAAATGTGGTCTGCTGTACAAAGTGTATCTCTTCCTCTCCTGTCTTTTTCCTGTTAAACAATCCTATTTGTTGAAATCAACATGAAGATAGAGGGTAAATATCATGAAGAAAGAAGTAATTGAATAGAGATGGATAAAAGAGAAGCTCTGAAGAAGGGTTCATGTGCCTGAAATCTTCCATTCTTGCTTGCTTTTTTTTTTCCCAAATCTATCAGTTTCTATACAAAAGATAGCCCTTCTTCATCTAAACCATTTGCTTGTGCCTTTAGACCTCTGTGGCTGTAAGAGCACAACCACCACCATTTACAGTCATTGGTAACACAGTATCTTATGGCAACAGATGATGTCAGACCAGACCACGCAATCACTTCCCTGTGCGAATAAACAGTTGTTCTAAAAAGAGTCTTTTTAGCATTCACAGGCCCTTTTCATGTGGTTCTCGGAGCACGAAATTGCTGAGGCAATCTGCTGGGTGATCCTACCAGTTATCTCACCTTCTGCCTGCTCTCATTTTCTTTTTCCTAGCCTTGCAGTAGGACTGATGGTAACCAGTCAGGGAGCAATAGCCACAGTTCTCCCTTCTTCATGTACTCTAGTAGGCACAATACTTTGCTGTGGTTTTGTGTGGGGCTCTTAATCTGATGAGCTGATGGTGTCTTACACATCCTGGCACCAGAAGCCAGACTGCGAAGTTTTCTAAAGCAAGTAAAAGCTGCTAAAAGGAATAGGGATCTCCAGGTTGAACTGCTAGACTCATGAAAGGCATTATTTCCTTTCTATTTTAGTGAACATTTTCTTCTGCTCCTTCAGCTGGTGTCTGTTAATATCCCATCTCTCAAATGCCCTGTTATGACAAGACCAGCTCAACAGTTGAACAAGGATTGACTTTTCCAATAGCACCCATAGCAGCATTGGGTTGACGGGAAAGAAAAGCTGGTTGTCATTGCTGCTGTTTAGTGCAACTTAAAACAAACCTTGTCTTCTTCCCATTGAGTTGCACTTCTTCACAATATCATTTATCCATTCTAACACATGATCAGAATACGGGGGAAGGCATACACTATACTGTGTGTGTTTGGCAAGAAACATAACCATTCATCTTCCAGTGTGATTGCACCTATACTTTCCTTTCTCTTTCCAGCAGTCTCCCTTTTGTTTACTGTCATCCTTTTTTTCTGTTTACCATCTGGTCTAAAGGCCAGAACTTCATTCATACCCTCTCCAACATGGTGCTTATGGTAGGAGAGCCGTGCCTTCAAAACTGCACACCATTTGTGACAAAAACATAGCTTCGTCTCGAAAGCAGCACACCACTGTCTCTGTGTCAATGAATAATTCATATAGGGAAATAATTATATGCAACAGATTTTACCTTCTTGTAATTTGCAACTTGTTCTCCATGTTTCTGGAAAGCAAATGTCTTAGACTTATTGGGTTTTTTTACTTTTAACCCATACCTGGCTTACCTGTAATTGTTTTGTTTAAGATCCTGTTGCATAGGCATGATATTTTTAAACATTTTAGACTGTAAGCAACCTTATACTAAATAGTAATGTGAAGAGTTCTAGTAAATTCTGGTTAGGGTAGGAGCAGCTGCAGGCTAACAGGTTTTTGGATTAAAGGAACAATTATTTATCTGGCATAAATGGTTCACATACTGGCTTAACCTGGCAAGCTGATAAACTTCAATATGACACTGATTTCACTACAGTCTCACTCATTATAAAATTTACAGACGTACTGAAGTAAATAAATATGTACACATTGCTACTGTTTTCTTGACACGTATATATGTACACGTGTGTATATGTATTGTGTGGCAGGAGATTACAAACAAACAAATGTACTCAGCGTTAACACTTTTCCGAAATGTACCTGACAGACCAAAAGTTTGAAAATGTTGACTGAAAATATGTATAGGTTTCTCTGCAGCCCTGCCTCAGATATGAAAAAAACCCAAACCAACAAACCCTCAAACTCAAGCACTAAAACAACAAAAACCCAAAAATATCTCAGGCATGTGGCACCAGATTTCTGTCTTTGAGCATATGAGCTAATTAATTTTATCTTTGAGCTGTGCAGAAATGTGCATAAGTGCCCTTGATGTGTCTATATGTTTGATGACGCATTATTAGTCTCTATAGTCTGTCTGAGAAGTGGACATTAATGTCTATCCCGTAGCATAATTAGAAAAGTCATAAAATATCCCGCTGTATTGAGTCAGGATCTTGCCCATCTGGGATTTATACCAAGAGATGTTCTTTTCTGGTTTTGCTGTCAGCACAAATGTTTAAATATACCTTCAAGAGCTGAAATATTTGGAAAGAAATTCTGTTTGCCTTATGTAAGCAAGCAATAGTCTGCCTTTAATGAAGTTTCACCCTTCAGTTCTATTCCGCTGTCTCTGCTAAAACTGGAATATACACAGTCACCCTAATTTTAAGAGGGATTACATGTGGAAGAAGATAAAGTGAAGGTGTTAGGATCTTGTATAAAGTCAGCTATTCTTTTCCTATTCTATTATTTTCTATTATTTGTTTTCTATTCACATTACAGAATTTAGCTTACAAACTAAAATTTTTAAGCATAATAAAGGGAGCTCTTGCAGTGCAAAAAGATTAGGGTGTTCACAGGAATGAAGAAATTATCATGGTCGTTTAAAAATGCAGTATCTTTCCTTTAAACAAGAATGATGGGCACGGATTCATTCTGCTATAAGAAGGACTTTATATCATCATCCTCACAGAAACCATCTGAATTCCTTCTAGTAGTGTATTGAATTATATGATATTTTATATCACTGTCATATGCAGCTCATTCTTTTTTTCTCATCTTTCCCCCAGGGAAGAATCGTGCATGCAGTGGGAAGATTTATTTCTTCCACAGACTTTTTTATTGTAGTCAGGTTGGAGAAGGCAGGTCATATAAAAGTGTTTTGCACTTGGTGATAAAATATGTGCTAGTCCTTAAGATTTTTTTTTCCTTGGGAGTTTGTACTATCTTCTTGGATCAGTTGCAAAGGAAGTTTTTTGTCTTGGTCTCTCACATATTAACTTTAAGTTAAAAGCTCAATTTTGCCTGAGGAGTTATTGGTCACAGACTTTATTGAAAGGTTTGGTTATCATTCAGCATTTTTAGACCCATGCCAAGCAATTGCCACTTTCAAGAAATAAACCGTTCCAGAACTAACCTGAGATAAACTGTAGCTCAATAAATTTCAATCATTAACATCAGCTGAGGATTTGACCTGACTTTAGAAGGAGTATATGGGAGTTCAAAGATGGAAAGCTGTTCTGGCTGCAGATCACTGAAAACCTATAGAGCTGTCGCATCTTTGTAATCCTAGCCACTGCTATGAGAGTTAAAATGAACATTTAGCATTAGAACTACTGTTCTAAATTTTTCACCAACTGCATTTTTAAAAATCCTGAATGATACATGAATCTGGTTCAATCTTATGTTGTTAATCATACCAGATACAAGACTGAAAAGACTGACAATATGTAATTTTTACTGAGTATGAAATCAAATGAGGCAGCCACAATGATCTGATTGTAAAGCTTATAAGATCTAATAGTTCACTTTTCCTTGACTGAAATTTCAATCCATTCATCTTCCTTAAAGCAACAATGAGATACAATATTTAAAAACCAAAAACAACACCCCAAAGCCAACCCAAAACCCCCAAAAAAGGCAACAACAAAAAACAAGTAAACAATAGAATTATTCTTCATTATTGAACTTGTCAAAACATGGAATATGAGGTTTTTCTCCCTCTAACAGTTCTTTTGATCTGTAGGTGGCACCTGCGTTGTTAACCCCACTGACCTGTTCTGCTCCGTACCTGGTCGCTTATCTCTACTCAGCTCCACTTCGAAGTACAAAGTCACCATTGCAGAGGTAAAGAGGCGCCTTTCACCACCAGAATGCCTCAACGCTTCCCTCTTAGGAGGTATTTTGAGAAGGTAAGTTGAAGGTGAGAATAACAAGTCCTAGAGAATGCTGTAAATTTTTGTAATTTTATTTTCCTCACTTCGCTGTCGTTCTCTTTTCCCACTTGGACAGGTGGTCACAGTTTGGGAAAACAGAAGGAGATGGATTGGGAGTGAAAATTTCTAGGGAATTTTTCAACAAATGAGAAAAAATGAAGATAGTGTTGGCATTTTTCACAGAAAGTTTACATTTTTTAGTGAACTGATTTTTTTTTTCACCCTTTCAGTTCAGTTACCTGTCAGAGATGGATAGGTGTCACTTTGCCTTGCTTTGAATGAAAAAAAAAATAAAAGACCCTCAGTGTGTGTGAAATTTCACCAGAGCTAGAACTCTGGCCTTTTGTTGAGGAATTATTTCAAAATAAATTGTTTCACCAAGTGTAGTTCCAGCCCTCACTCATTAAAAACCTAAAACATTAAGGTGTAGGGATGCCTTTTTCTCCCATTCCTGTTTGCCTGCCTTTTGAGTACAGAAAAGACAGACTTCACAGAATACAGTGGTTTTACTCTTCTCTTTGTGAGATACTGGAGGAGAAACAAGTAATTAGGTACAATTTTACCTCTGAACCTTCCCTGACCAGAGTAGACACCTGCAGAAAGCAGTAGCAGAGAGGCAGAAAGTGCCAGACCGTGCCTCACGTTGCAAGCAGAAAACAAGGAGGAACTGTAATTCAGCCAAGCGTATGTAAGTCGCGACGTCCCCGAGGCGTCAACTTAGATGGCATGAGCTACTTGAATGCCCTTTGATCAAAACTAGCTGGAAAGTCACAGGCTATTTCACTGCTGTCACTGAAGGCCACACGGATCCCTGTGCTTATACCGAAAGATATTTTAACCAACCTGTGTTGTTCTAAGATATGTAGTAGTTCAAGAGCTGACTTGAGCCATCTTGCAGAGTAAGAACTACAGATCATAAAAATTGTTTCAGTGGCATAAACTCTATTCAGCTGCCTCTGTAGGCATTGAAATCCAAAATCCATACCCACAAAATTTTTCCTTTGTTACTGCTTCACCTTGGAGAGTCCTTCAGCTAATAGTCATAGAAATATCCACTTTAAATACTTATACTGCTGGCTTCATCAATACCAATACAAGCTATTAAGAATGCAAGGGCATCAACCTGAACATGGGGACTCATTTCTCTCAAAATGTGAGAATCATGCCCATAAAGTTTTGACCCAGACCAAATAACACTCTTCCAGATCAACCCTGGGCATGGTTCAGGAGTTAGCAGAACATTTAGCCAGCAGTTTACATGTTTTACGAGGCAGAGAGTGTAAATGAAGATATTTGGTCAGGCTATTCCTGTAGATATCACAACTAGGTAACAGACTCGGGCATTGTGCAGTTGACCAGCAAAGATGTAGCAAAACCAAATCTGGTTCATGGTTTGCCTGAGACCTGGCAGGGTTGGTTTTGCATCCTGTCAGCAGTCATTGTCTAGGTATTTTCCCAACTAGCTTTTCTTCAGAATTAAGTGTTCTCAGATGATGTTTCCTGACATACAATGTGGTCAAAGTTGTGGTAACTCTTATGCATAAAAAGGACCATCCAAAGGGTGGCATTCCAAATTTGGTTCTGAAGGAACTTGAACCTCAAAACCTCTAGTTAGTCACGCTTAATACTCAGTGACTGCTTATTCCAAGCTGAGGGTCCCTCAGTCTCATCTGGGGCTAATTGAATATTTATTGGACAGACGCAAAGGTGTAATTGTAGTGATGACTCTATTATCTAATGACTAGGTCATTCATTTGGGTTGGGAGAAATGCAGGCTCCAGTCACTGCTTTGTTCAGTGTTTAAGCATTTTAACATTAGTTTTTCTCTGCCAGCTGGCTGCTGCATTCATCTAAAAAACACAGGTTAAAATTCCCTCAGGCTGAGTAAGAAATTGAACTTACATCTGCTGAATAAGTGGATATGTCATGATTGTTTCAAATATTGAGGTACTGCAGAAAAGCAGGTGTGAGCTGCACCAGGAACCATTTTATGATCACGAAGTGGCATAGCCATTTGGAATAGATAAACAGTGATGTCTGGGATTTTAGCTTCAGCATTTCCTGTTGCCTTATCCTTCTTCCTTGTAAGTACTGGGCTTTGTAGACTATATTTCTAAGTACTCAGGTCTCTACATGAATTATAGAAGGACAGCTAGAGCTGGGTTCCACAGACATCTCCATCTGAGTAGCCATCTCACTTCCTTTTATAGTCAGATGACAGAGATGGGTAAAGTATCTTTGTTCTAGATATCTCTTTAATATAATTTTAGAAGTGCATGTTTCTCTCTTGATTGACTTGGAAGCCTGGTGTCGCTAGATCAGATATAAGGGACTGCACTGTGGATATTTATATTCAGTCAATGCAATCCCAGGCTCGGTGCCCAAATCAGGACCATGGGCTCCACTAGGTGGAACGCTGTTTGAAGACCTGATGTCCCTGTGACAGACATTTAAAAGTCTAACTCTGTCAAAGGACCAACGTGAAAGACTTGCACAGGGCAAACAGGACATTAAGAATACATTAATGCAAGCATTACCTCACACATTTGTTAATATAGTGTGTACAATTTCTAGACTTACATTAACCTGGGGGGAAAAAGTGCAGAATAAAGATGAGTTTCTCTTTTCTACTGTTCTCTTGTGATAGAGCAAAATCCAAGAATGGAGGACGCTGCTTGCGAGAAAAATTAGACAGACTGGGACTGAATTTGCCCGCAGGAAGAAGAAAAGCAGCAAACGTCACACTCTTGACTTCCTTGGTAGAAGGTAGGGTTTAAAATATTGCAATGTAATATAAACATAATTTAAATATTTCCTTGTATACAACACTTTTCAGCCACAGTGTTAAATATCAAAACTTGTATTTTGTACAAGGAGAACTGACCTGGCTAAAGTCACAGACAGAATGAGCGTCAAAATGGAAGCTCATTCTGAGATGTCTTGGCTCCTAGCAAATGGTTTGGTGCTGCAGTTTCCTCAGCATTGATCTGTGCTTTCCGTGCTGGGATCTGACTTACAAATCGATGATCCAAGTGTACTTGTGAGAGAGATGAATGTCTTATACCAACTCTACAAGTAGGCTTGTTTATCCTCCTTTTTCTTCTAACTTGTGAATTTCCTGGAGCTGATCCAAAAATGTGATTTATTTTTTTCCCGTAAGAAAGCATAATATTTAGACAAGACTTTTCCCCCCACACATAAATGAATGAAATCTGTTTTCAGATAAATTCTAGACAGGCCCAGGAGATACTTTCCTGGCCTTTATTTGTTGTTTAAATACCATTCACCGAATACTGTCGGGCTCTTCAAACCTTCAGCTGGGAGATGCAGGTTCAAACCCCTCAGGCAAAGGGAAGAAACTCTACCTGAATCTCTTCTATGCTGGGTGAATCCACTAAGTACTCAGTTTGTTGTCTGGCTGTGAGTAGCAGCTCTGGGAATTTCAGATCCCTTCTCCTTGATGTTGAGAGCACTCAGCTCATCCTAAAGGTCAACACCTTTTAGGATCATAACCTAAAAGGTCCATACATATCTAGGCAAGTAGGCTAAGGTCTCAGCACATATTACCACAGAATCACAGAACTACAGAAAGGTTGAAGCTGGAAGGAACCTCTGGCTATCTTCTAGTCCAATCCTCCTGCTCAAAGCAGGGTCAATTAGAAGAGGTTGCTCAGGACCTTGTCTACTTGGGTTTTTAATATCTCAAAGGATGAAGAAATAGTGCTGAATCCACAACAGTGGATGTTTTTCAGCATCTAAGAGGGACTAAGATTCTCAGAGGCCACAGAGCACACAGAACTACATTGGGGCTGCTCTGAAATACAGGTGTGTCCATATCAAACCTGCTTGTAATAAAGACAAAACCATAATGGAGTTGCAGTCTTAGAAAAGGGAGTTTTCTCTGTCATTGTAGAGGAGTAAGGGCTGTTCTTACCCTCACAGTTCTTCATGTATCTTGGTTCTAAACAGGGAAGAACAAACAAAGCTCTGTGGCCAGCTACTCATTCATTACATGAGACTGAGAGTGAGGAAGCTCTCTTTTAACTGCTGGCCTGGGATGGATGGCAAAGTAGCTTTATTGTAAGTCAGAATTAGATTCTTTTTTGCCAGGGATGGAGCTGTGCTTGTCTCCCTGCCCTTTACTCACAGCCAATAGAAAATCTATTGTTAAGCCTATAATATTGCTTTTGTTCTAGGATTGTCTTAATGCGAGTCCTAAAGATATATACTGAGGAGACGGAGCTCACTTTGACAGATGCTTGTTTGCCTAGACATCCTAATCATGAATTTCGTCAGCTAGAATTTTTGGGAAAGGCACCACCATGTGTGTTAACATTACAACAGAAAACAGAACGAAGCTCATTTTCTGTCTATGTACCCAATCATTGGTCAGACTTGACAGTGCTCATTGAATTCTTTGTTGTTTAAGCTTTCCTCCTTTTCTACATATTACTTCCAAGTGGTACAAACTTGTAGCATGGTTTCCGCAAGAAAACCCATCCCTCAATGGCTCCTGCTGCCAGAGGAGGCCAAAATGGAAAAATAGGCTTATTCCAGGTTTTAGAGGAGGGAAAAACATTAAGAAAATAGCACTGGCTTTTTCTCTGTGATTTTAATATACAAATTGACATAATGATTTATTAATCTTAATAAATCCTGAATATCAGGTGCACTGTGTGAACTTCTCTTAAGGACCCAGGATTGTGTCATTCTTGGTTACATTAGATGTTCCTAAGTTTATTATTACTGAAGGTCCTCACAGTCTGCAATGTACTGAAGCCTTTAATATCTCTGTAAGGTAGGAATGTGCTGAACCTTTTGTATATCTGTTCGAGGTAAGAAAAGGGAAAATTAGTTGTACGGTGATTAAGTATATTGACCAAAGCCCTTTTGAAAGTCTCTGGCATGACTAAGCCTTCTTTTTCCCTAAATAGACTAAAATCATTGAGTTTTGGGGAGTACTGCTAAGTTCAACAGAGGAACTGCAGTGATTTTCTAGGCTGTGGTGGTCATGTAAGATCCAGACTTTATGAAAACTATTCTGTGGACCTTTGTTTCCTGCAAACCTTCTTCTTTCGGGGTTCAGCATGGTTACTAGGCGTTTACTGTTACTCTTGGTTTGGTTGGGTTGTATCTTTAGTGTCTTTGGTAGGGACTTCTGGAGCCCAGAGTAGGAATTGACAGATCAGTTCTGTTCTTTATGTTGTCAATACAAATCAGCACAATTTGTGGAAAGACAGACTGGGAGAATCATAGAACCACAGAATCACAAAATCACAAAATGTTAGGAGCTGGAAGGGACCTCGAAAGATCATCCAGTCCAACCCCCCCTGCCAGAGAAGGAACAACCTCAGCATTGCGAGATTCTTCACAGCAGCATGGGACATAGCTTTGTGCAACCTGTAGGTGAGGGATGCCCTCTAGTGCCTAGATTGGTTGAAGGGAAAGGCCATTTTTTTTAAGAGCAATAAAAGGATATTTCCTACATCTTAGCTAATACAATAAGGGCTCCTCCATTAAATAATAGCATTACCAAGACTAAGTCTTACTGCTGGCTCAAAGGAGTCAAAACTCTCCCCAGTAGGAGCAAGAAAGGATGTGAGAAGAAGGGACATGTCCCTGCCTGGTTGAACAAGTCACTTACAAGGGCAAAGACATAGCATGTTATTGCAGATGCAGGTAAAAGCAATGCATGGATGAATTTAAAACCAGATTATTTAACAAAAAAAGTCAGAAAAAGCACTTACAAATAAATCTAGAGTTTGTTTTCTTGTCAACTCTAAGACATTAAATTTACTAGATGTAGAATTGACTGCATCCACCATTTGAGGACCAAAATTATTGAGAAAAATAGGTCACCCTGCTATCAACTGTCACACTTCTCCCCCACCAGTCTTTGTTTAAATATCCTTCCACTTGTTCCTCCTCCCTTCTCACCCTACAAATAGGAAAAAAAAAAAAATTCTTCCACCTCCTGCTTGTCCCTCCTCCCCCTGGGTCACATTTCAGCTGGTTAGAGCATCCGGAGGAGGCAAAGCTGAGGAGAGAGTAGGAGGTTCAGATGCCAAGCGTCCCTCTCCTGGGACACAGCTTCTGCCTTCACTCTGCATAGGAGCATCTCTCAGTCTTGCTAAACCCAGGAGACACCCACGCTGCTCCTTGCACCTGCCCACAGAAGCTTGTCAAGGTATGTGGTCTGGTCTCTCCACTGAGGCTTTCTAGAGCAGTCTCTGCCAATTCAGCTTCAGCAACTGTCCTTTTCCATCATGCAAAGCTCTCTGGTCAATTGTCAAATTACATGGGAAGGGCAGTGCTGCCTATGGCTGCAAAGCCGTGTACTGGATTGAAACAGTCAACGATCCCCAACACCCGTCTTTGTCTCTGCAGGAGGAAAGAGCTGAGGATATTGTACATAGGAAACCTTAATTTTAGATTGAAATAAAGCAGCTGGCTATGAAAGCCAGAGGTTTTAGGGGCTTCTACCTTTAGTACCACTCCTCCTTGACATAAATAATACTTAGACAGAAGAAGGTAAATCTAAGGTGAAAGAAAAGAGGTCAGTTCATCCACATTTCCAACATTTCCACGTTTTTTCCTTAGAATAAATGTTTGTCCAAATTGTGATGTAGAAAAATAAAGAACCACTTTTGTGACATTTTGTATAAACTACTTTCTCCCACCAATGAGACTTATTTCCTACTGTGCAGTAACAGAAAGGACCTCTGTTGACAGTTTTCTATTTTTATTTAGAATTTGATTTCATAATTAAGAACACCCAGTCCTTATATCATATGGAAGTGCATGCTTATATGAATAAATATGCATAGTTATAATGTGCAGTCATAACATACATCAGCCTTCCATTTCCAATAAAAATAGAGATTTATAAGTGTATAAAATATATTTTTAAAATATATTTTAAACATTTATATATTTACAAACCACCATAGGTACATTTTTATCTACATTTTTACCTACCTATATCCACAAGCAGACAAGTAATTTTATCACTTTTTGCTCATGGTTTTATCTCTTCACATACAATTGGCATTCAATCACAATCCCAGCTCCATGTACAATTGACAAGATTTATACTTCTGTATAACTTTCTGAGATGATCAAAACAGTTTAGTATAATATCTCAGCTGTGGTAAATAATATACTCTATCTTTGGAAAGATAAGTTTTAATGACAATTCATATTTTCATTCCGTTTCTTTTTGTCATTAAGTAAAAACATACAAATTTTAGTCAGTTCATTGTTGACCATGTTATGTAAACACCTACATCTCATCACAGAAAGTTTTACTTTCTTGAAGAAACCAAGACTTTTCCAGTAGCTAAATGTTTCAATTGTTTGCTGACTAATTTGCTTGTACTGTTACTTGGCTCTGACTGGAACCAGGAAAGAGCTGTCTGGAGAATGGTAATTCTACCTGATGACAGCTTCAAAGGGTTTGACTTTTATCTTCTTTCCATGTTGGCATGAAAACAAATCTACCAAGTTTTTTAATGGAATTTGGTTGAAGAGCAAAATTTGGTGCTCTTCCACAAATGACTCACTCTTTAAGTCTTATTTAAGAAAGAGTAAAAGCATAGCTGAAATAGAAATTCTGAAGCACCTTTACAGAAATTCAGAATCTATGTCTTAAATTTGTATTTTTTCTCATCCATGAAGAAGTTTGGGATAGATGTTATAAATACAAAACTGACAGTCAGCTATATCACTGTTCATTCTGACTCACTGTTAACATACCACTAAAATCCATTTTAATTTCACTGAAAATTTTTTTATTTTTCCCAGAATCTGTAAACTAAGTGGAAACCATTTCTCCTTTCAACTCAGAGATAGTGGTTGCTTATTAATTTCTTATTCTTTTTAGGCATACTGGAAATCATGTTTAACAAAATCCAAATTATGAAGATTATTTTGATCTAAAACTTTTGCATGTAAAATTGGTTTAATCTGTGAGGGTTGTTGTTGACTGGTGTCAGCAAATTACTGTGTTCAGTTCTGGGCCCCTCACTAGAAGAAGGATGTTGAGATTCTGAAGCGTGTTCAGAGAAGAGCCACAAGGATGGTGAGGGGTCTGGAGAACAAGCCTGATGAGGAGCGGCTGAGGGCACTGGGGTTGTTTAGCCTGGAGAAGAGAAGGCTGAGGGGAGACCTCATCACCACCTACAACTACCTCAAGGGAGGTTGTAGAGAGGTGGGTGCTGGTCTCTTCTCCCAGGTGATGGGGGATAGAATAAGGGGAAACGGCACCAAGCTGTGTCAAGGGAGGTTCAGGTTAGAGATAAGGAGGAAGTTCTTTACTGAGAGGGTCGTCAGAAGCTGGAACAGGCTGCCCAGGGAGGTGGTGGAGTCACCATCCCTGGATGTGTTTAAAGAGCGGGTAGACGAGGTACTTAGTGATATGGTTTAGGGGGTAGACAGGAGCGGTTGGACGTGATGATCTCGGAGGTCTTTTCCAACCGAGCAATTCTGTGATTCTGTGAAATTCCTTGGGAGTAGTGTCTGTATTTTACTAGCACCTGAATCCAATTAAGTCAGATAAACACATAACAAAGTATTTGTTTGTGGAAATGAAAGGTATTTTTCTGGTAAAAACTGGTAGAAGGAGAGAAAATAAACTCTGAAATGGTAGAGAATAGAGGTCAGTCAGTGCATGGGGTCCTTTATGCCTCATGCTGCCCCTGGCACAGGACCACCACTCTCATGGAAGTTTCCATCTTCCTTGGCTTGGCCAGGTCTGTGCAGAGCAGAGTCAGTCTTGCTGGGGAGGGGACTCATCTCTACAAACTCAGCACCGCTACAAGGTTGTATCTGTCCTCTCATGTCTCATTGTATTTAATAAGGAGAAATCCGCACTTTTGGGTGGTTAACAATTAAATTAAATTAATAATTAAACATTTGATTATGTTGCTCAGAAAAGCTGCGAAATCTCCATGGTTGGAAATATTCAAGACTAGGCTTGGAAAGTCCACGAAGAACCTAATCTAAGACCATGTTTTCAACAGAAGATGATCTCCTGAGTTCCCTTCTAACCCAGACTTTTCTATAATTTCTCTGACCCACTTTTATTTTCTACTTTATCATGGGGTGATACATGCTTCAAGTGCTAGCTTGTCTCCCTTACTTGAAATTATTAGGTCACGTGTCGATAACTGACATTTAATCAGAGGAATTCCACTGCACATATACTCAAGGGGAAATGTTACAGGTCCTGCATCCCTCCTGACTGTTCACCTGGAGCATCAGCCTAGTCTCCAGAAAGACAGGGTCAAATGCCACCTCTCATGATAGAATTCAAATTCACAACTCTGAAAAAAAAGAAAAACAAAATTTAAAACCCACAACATCCTAACCCTAAATCTACTCTGGAGCACATCTCTCAGTCACTCATGCAGATGTGCTTCAACATACACTTCTGGTAGCTGACCTATTTCTACCTTCTGTGATGAGATGAGAGCAAGTGTCATCTGGAAGTGCCCATTTCCCACCAGGGAAAGACTAACTTGAGCACAGATGTTCACACTCCAGGCAGCTGTGTTTGATCAGATAAATCCCACACCAAGGTTGTCAGAGTCACAGCATGCAGGTCAGAGTGTTCAGTAAACCCTAAAATAAATTCCTGGGTTCTCTGAGCTAGTGGAAAGGGACAGGTTCTTCTAGAAGTATTTGGGACCCAGCATGGGGTTGGGTTACAGTGTCCTGTCTGTGTAGTGTGGTAGAGAGGTGCTCAGTGCCTGCCCTTATCCCAGACTTCTCATAAAGCCTAGCCAGGCCATGTACTCCCTTGCCTTGATGGCCTCACCTATAAAACAGCTACTATCATCTTCATTGTCATCCCTTTTTATTTTGTCTGTCCAATTTTGATTGCAATCTTTTTGGAAACAGGATTATTTCTTGTGCTCTACTTTGGGGTCTGCTCATCTTTAGTATGGGACACTTGTATTGCGCTGGCCTGCTTAACCCCTAAGCAAGTAAGTTGAAATGTATGTTATCCCCACTGAGTAGAAGGCTATTCTTCCTTTAGAGATAAAGAAGTAAAATATCAATGGCTGAATCTTAGCTCTTTAGGGTGATTTATTCCTACCTTCCACTAATTTCCATGCCTTAAGTATCAACAATGAAATGGGCTTACAAAACGAGCAGCTGCCCAATACTCACTAATGGCAGGGAAGGGAGCGAAACCCAAGGGTCTTGACTAGTATTTTCTCATGAGAGGAATAGCCTCACTATCTTCTGGCTAGCACCATCTGATGACTAAGCACGAGAAGGCCAAATGGGATGAAATCTGTAACTGAGATTGGGAATGAATGTCTACGAAATAATTTGTTATTATATGATTTTTTTTAAGAGTGTAATAAATTCTGTAAGCGTAAAATAATAAAAATAATAAACCTAAAAACTAACTGTCCATTTTGTTTACCCACAGGTGAAGCATTACATTTGGCCAGAGATTTCGGCTACACCTGTGAAACAGAATTCCCTGCCAAAGCAGTAGGAGAGCACATTGCCAGACAGCACATGGAACAGAAAGAGCAGACAGCAAGGAAAAAGATGATCCTAGCGACAAAGTAAGAAGGGAAGGGGAAACTAAAAAAGAAATCTGTCTGTCATGTCTCCATTTTGGATCTGGGGGCTGGAGGAGGGAAGAGTGGGAGTATGGAGCTGGAATTGTGGTGACTGCTATCACAACAGTGCTCACTGACATCAAGTGAGCACAATCCTCTTAAGAGATGCTGTAAGAGGAACATATTTACTGCAATGAAGGTTTAGTGGTTATGGTGTCCTTGCTTGCGGTTAAGGAGGCACATGCATCTTCTCAGATGCTTTGGTTTAATTGAGAGGAGGGGACATTACTACATGGTAAGATCTATAGAACATAAACTGGTTTTGTTTTCTGTTTGCGTGTGAGCAGGACATCAAAGCTTATACCAAAGTACTAGTTACTGTGGGATAATTAGTGCTAGTCTATTGAGGAAGAGCTGGTTTGCAGAGGGACAGATCCTCCCTGGATGGAAATTGCAAGTTCCCCTGAAGTCAAAGGTTCTGGAATGATGTACACCAACAGGGCAGCTTTGCTAAAGCCATTAGAGACACACAGAGACACTTGACTTCGCTCTAAATAAGCTGCTCACCTCCCTGGAGCAGTATCACATTAGGATAACATTTCATTTAGGTTAATTAGCCTTGATGAGGGAGGAATTAGCCTTCATGAGCCAGGGGAAACAGAAATAAATAGTCTACATGGAACAGCAGAGACCTACACTAGGTGTCAGGTATGTCTGCGTGGGGTAGCCTTGAATATACGCATACTCTTTCTGTGCTTATGGCAGTGTTACACAGTGAGGCTGCAGGAGAGCTGATGACAGAAACCCAAGCTCTCAAACCATCACCCCATTGCTGGAAATATTTCAGAATCATTCAGGCTGGGATATATCCAACAGAGAGGAATCACCCTGTGGTAGGAGAGAAGTCTGACCAGCAACAGGATTGTCCTTTTTATCCCAATGTCCTTCTGCTTTGTCTGTTTGTGGGAAACAGGATTCATGGCCTTGATGTTCCTCTTGTATTCAGAGCTCTTTGCCCTGAAGTTTACCGGGAGACACACACATTGAAACACCTCAGGCTTGTGAATCCTGTGAATACAGCCTGTGATCCTTCCCTGTGGTGCTAAGCAGAGCCCCATGTGGCACAGGAAGCACTTGCAAGTTGTGAAGGTGATGAGAAACCTCAGTCATCATGTTCCTAAGTCCCTTACAGGTTAAAAGTAATAATACAAGTGCAATATGATCTTATTCTTACCTACATCCACAATTGTTTTAAGGGACCAAGGGGTTTCAGAGGCAGGAGAATAAACCAGCTGGCAAGACTCCTAAGCTCCTTACAGGTTAAAAGTAATAACACAGGTGGAATACAATCTTATTCTTACCTACATCCACACTTGTTTTAAGGGACCAAGGGGTCTCAGAGGCAGGAGAATAAACCAGCTGGCAAGAACCAGCTCCTCTCTGCAAGTTGTGTCTCCTCATTGTTGTGCAGCTCATTAACAACCTGTCGCAGCTCCTCTCTGCAAGTTGTGTCTCATTGTTGTGCAGCTCATTAACAACCTGTCCCCCTTAAGATGAAAAAGCTGATCGTACTGCTGGGCAGCACAGCATAAACAAGAGTGAAGACTGTAAGTTGCCTCAGCTGGAGAACTTACTTTATCTATACAATGTTACTCAACCATAATGATAAAAATCTTCCCCCTTTTTTTCTAGCTCTAGTGAGAGATCACATTACTATAGGTTGTAATAATCACTGAGTAACTGTTCTGTCCTACCTCCAAAGGCTGTCCCATCAACAGACACATAAGAATCTCACTATCCTTTCTCCCCACTTAGTATCTAGTTTTTCACCCTTCTTTACTGCTGAAATAGGGAGTTATGGACATGCATTACTGCTAACCCCCATAAGCTTTGGGCTTGTAGTTTGTTATCCTGCACTTGTAAGGAAAAATAAAAGGTCTTTTTTCCTCCTTCCACCAGTTAAAAGCACAAGCAAATTGGTGAGATGGGTCTGTCGATAACACAAGGATAGGCCACGTCCTGCCGCAGTCAGAGTGCATGTAACAGGTTCAGATGGGTCAATGTGTGTGCTACTGCTGCCCTCTCCTGCCTGACAGGAGAACCGTGATTCACGGATCAGCCCTGTCTAGATACTACAGGAGACACAGGTCCATGACATCGTAATACTGGTACGGTGTTTTCCAGACATGCTTCATGTGTCCGATACTAAGCACTCAAGTAATTTGTCAGAAGTTTCAAATATTCACTAGGGGTTTATAAGCTCTAGGCCTGTAATTTCACAACTGCCCTGCCTCGTGCATTTGTGGGTTATGACACCAGGAAATGTGGTGGGTCGCTATGCTGCCACCAAAAATGACACTGAAATTCCAAGATGGTAAAATCACTCATTGCAAGCTTTGCTTATGGAAATAAATGGAATGTCATTGCTTGTGTGTGTTAACACTGATCATTCTGGGACAGAGCTAGAAGCCCATAGAAGTGTACATTTGGCAGAACTGGTGAGATCTTCCATATGTGGGGTCTTGAGACAAAATAAGGGGAAAGAACAAAATTATTTCCACTATTTATAGTATATAGATGAAATTCCACTCTGGATTTAGACATCCAACTTCAGTGACTTGATTCAGCTGCCCAGTGCTGCCATTTGAGATTAACTGGGTTATCCAGCTTGGTTACCAGCTGCTGCTTCAGAAGCACACAGGTCTCTTCTTGTTCCTGTATTGTATCTGCCAATTATTATGGAAGTCTTGGGTACCACATATCTATGTGTGGATAACTAAATAGAGCCCTTAATGTTTATAGTGCAGAGGTCTCTGGTGTCCAAGAAGAGGCTCCCAGTGTTATCAAGGGCATCAATACACTGTAGTCAAGCAGTCCACTCACCCTGAGCAGAAGTAGTTCAGATGCCATGCACAGGCTAAAGACTGCTGCAATAGATGCCAGCAGCCCTCTTTAAGTCATAGAGGTCACTAAGCTTGAGGTAACACTCTTTTTTCACTGCCCTGCTCAGCCCTACCTGTTTTGGGGCTCTGTTGATAGTAGTACAGTGAATTACATCAGGACCACTTTCTGGCACAGAACAAATCATATTAGTTGGATTAAACGACTTGATCTTCCAAAACTACCTCTTGGAAATAGTCCCTCATATTTGCAAACTCAAGGTCTGCCTAAGACAGTATTATTTGTTGCAATAAGATGGTGCCATAGCCTGTTCTAACAATTTGATGGTTTAGACAAGGAAGAATCAGAGCCTTGCCAGATTATTATCACAGGAAGAAAAGATGATTTGGCTCTGTAGCCAGTATATGGCACTGAACATAAGTGACAGGAAATGCAGAATGGGGGTGAGGCAATCTTTGGTTAAGAGTTGAAAGAATAAGGAAAAGGTAAACAATGGAAGAAGCCAGACTCCTATGATTCTTTTCTCTGCACTCACTTCCTTTGACTGAGTAAATGAATGTGTGGGCACAGCAGAACAAGATGCCTCAAAAAAAAGAAAAAAGGCTTAGTTATCATAGTTCTAGCCAAAGGGTTCTGCTATTGACCTGTTAACCATAGACTCTTTAGAAGGGCTTCAGGACACGTCTATACAACCACACAGAATTTAAAAAAAAAATAAAATAAAAATAAAAATCTGGGCCCCGATTTTAGAGGGTCTTTAATCATGGGTTAGTTCACCTTGCAGAGGTGTGGGAGATCCTGAATAGCTTTACAACAGGGGACAGAACCTCATCAGGGTGCAGCTAGGACATATGCAGAATGGCTGAAGGCCACGTACTAATTGCATCTGATGAAGGGGTGTGCTGTCCTACAGGAAACATCACAGAGTATCACAACTCAAAGCCTTCCACATGACACAGAGGGACAGATACATGCACATTTACACAGACCAAAACAGAATAGTGGGAATAACAATTTTATTGTGGGGTTTCTTACTACCAGTACAGAATAATCAACATCTGACTCACGACACTATATGCTCAACTTGCTAGTTTTCTGAAAAATAGCTCTGAGACTGAACACACAGACCCTGCTGAGCACCCCTCTGATATCTGATCTTTGGATGCCTAGTAACTCTGCCACACTTGGAATACATCAGACTCATGGGCAGGCATTTGCCCCACTCCTGTACTGATCACAGGGCATTTAATTTGGCCACTGCTAGGGATAGGATCATGGACTAGATGGGCTCTTGTTCAGATCCAGTACAGAATGTTTTCTCTTTTCTTTGTTATCTACTGGAAACTCTGACCATCTTTAACAAATCGTTAGGTGCCTCCTTTGCAGGAGTGACCAGGACTCCTGTTTTAATTAATCTGTGGTCCCTAAAACAGCATAACTATTTTTCATTGTTTTTTTCAATGTCACGGTCCAACTCAGCAAATAACTGTCAGCCCCCTCCCTGTCACTACCCCAGGTGATGTTTTTTTGGTAGTGGAGGCTCTGAGATACCACTTTGCCTAGAAATCCCCTTGAAAAAAGTAGGTTACTGCCTTTTACAGGTTTTCATGTATAATAAAAAAGTTTTTTCTTTTCTTTCAATCTGCCAGCACTTAGTAAAGACTTTTGACATGTGAAGATAGAAGGGAACTTAATTGCACACTTGGTTCTGACACTTTCCTTTGTCAAAATACAAGAACTTTTAAGATGAACTTTTTCAACAGGTAGAAAGTAGAGGTTGGAGGAAGGAGAGAGGAGCAGTGCTGACAGGGCCGACTGGGGATAGTAGATTGTTTAGAAGCCAAAATGACTGACTGTTTTCAGTTGTTGAAAGGAACTGTTTTTCCTCTAAGGACCCGATTCATTAAAACTGTATGCTGCATTTACATACATTTCTGCTGAATACTTCTCTTTGCCTGAAAGGCTAAGATGATGCTGTCTTTTCAAGCAGTCAGTGTCTAGGTCCGTACAGATGACAAGCATTTACAGCAATCAGGCTTGGATGAAGTCCAGCAGCACAGCAGGAAATAGTTTTCTGCATGTCCTCTCCTTTTAGTCAGGAGAGAGCTGTGGTATCCAAAGTCTATGTCCAAAACTTGCAGGACAACAGTGATATAAAGGGTAAAAACGGGTTAATATAGTTCCCTTGCTTTTTACTGGGCAATGAAGGACCTTCTAAAGACCAAGAAGATTACTTTACCCAATTATTTTCCATTATGCCTCTGTCCCAATGGTCAAGAGTGACAAGGTGGTAATGAAAAACTTGAACTTTATGTAGGACTGGATGTGCAAAGAGTCTTCTAACAGAAATCATGGACCACAGAGATGCTCTGTCATATTAGAAACCGTTCTCAGGGACAGTGATTGCATCTGTGCTAACAGAGTAAACCATGCACACACTGAGTCATCATATTGCAATTGTCCATATTATTAAAATGTTAGAATGGCTTCTTGAACTCTCCCCGTTATCTTCTGGGCATGTTTTGGGAGACAGCCCACACCAGGGTCCATTTTCAGGAAGACAAGCTGTTTGAGAAGCTAGAAGTGCATAACTAAGCAGCCCTTATCAGATGGTGACAATTTGCGTGAGGATATGAGAATGACCCCTGACACTGCTTACTTTACTCAGTGGCACTGTTTACTGTATTACATGTATTCACTGTGACCAACATTGGCTCCTACTGAGTGTCAGGCTAGCATCTGGGAACCTAACTGAGTGTCCTGACACTCTGGTGGGCATCATGACCTCCTGACCTCTCATTAAATGCCAGATTTCCAGTACAGTCAGTGCAGAATGGTACGCTCGTTTGGAGAAGTCCTGAGAAAGAGATTGAGGCACCTCTTCTTTTTTTTTAATTAACTATCATAAACGAATTGAAAGTAAGTAATGTCTTTATACATCCACAGTCCAGATAGTACTCTTCTGAAGGCATGCACTAAATGAACCTGGTTTGCTTTCTTCTTTTACAAAGTACATTGGTAGAATATTCCTAGACTTATTTGCCCAATACAACGATGTCACAAGAATGACAAGAATTTATTTTCAGATCTCTCCTAGTGTTAAGTCCTATATAGGGGTATACCAGGAGATATTTTTAACCCTCAAGTGCTGAGGCAGCCTCAGAAGCCTGAGGGAAGACCTGAGAAGGATATGGACGACAGCAAGCCCATCCGTTCTTTCCAAAGATGTTGTGTTACTATGCAGATGGGAGACCAGGCAAGACAGAGCCTGAATTCCCTTTACAAGGTGCCGAACTGGGGTCCCAGGTCCTACCTACTGAAAGTGTGTGTTGCCCAGGAAACCATCATCAAGAAAAAGTGGAGATGATGAGATTTGCCTCACTTGCCAGTCTGTTGTGTAGGCACTGACAGCTGAGTTCCTCCTACAGTCACTAGCGAGAAAGAGGCACTGTTAGGATGCAAGTCCTCTGGACTGCTATAGACATCTACTTTAGGTTGCCTGATAACATTGGAGAAATGTAAAACAATTTAATGAATGTTTCAATAAGAAATTTAAATACTGCCACTGGAATGAATTCTCCATCTGGGCAGACCTGTGGGAGAGGTCTTAGTTGAGAATCCACCACTTCTTCTGCACCAGACTCTACAAGGAAGCAGAGTATGGACACAAAATGGAAACTAGGAGAGCAAAGGCAGCATTTTCCTTCACAACTCCTAAGTCCTCCATTTGTCTTAGGAGTTGGTGGTCACAAGGACAAGGCCAAAATAGCCAAGACTTCTGTTTGCAGATAAATGAATGACACAAGCAAATGAACAAGTAGTGAGGTATTTACACAAAGTCTTCAGGCATATTCAAACACTAGTTCATCATTTTCTTTAACCGTAACCCTTTCTTCTAATGTAGATGAGCTAAGCCAGACTTAACACTGCCAAACTGGGTCCAATTCAGGAGAGAAATCGCATTTTAAAATGTCATTGTTAATAAGATTCCCGAGGAGAACTAGTCATGTTCAAGAGATTCTGTATGTTGCTGGCCCTGAGAATTTGGGGCAGAAAGTCAAGAGGGGGATTCATTTGCCTTTAGTTTCTTTAACAGTGCCTCTGCCAAGCATTTCTGTTACAAATGAGATCACTCAGGATAAGGTGACAGCATTACAAGAATCAATTTTATAGAAAGGATTACACATGTCTTATTTAAGGATTTCCACTTTCATTTTAGACAAATATGTAAAGAATTCCAAGACCTTCTAAGTCAAGACAGATCACCCCTCGGATCCTCCAGACCGACTCCAATATTAGACCTCGACATCCAGAGACATTTAACACATTTCAGGTATGATTTTGACTCAGAAATTATTAACTAAAATCCATAATTTTGTGAAAGACTAAATACGATATTATAATGGTATTTGTTCCCTTATCTAGAAGACTATAACGTTCATACATTACTGTACCTGTTCATACATCATACTGTACCTGTGCTTGTTAAAAGCTCATGTTTGCCCAGCAATGTAGTTCAGGTTAGTTGCATTCACCCTGCTTCTAAGACCACAGGCTGAGTTTGAATAAGCCATTTTCTACATCTGCTGGCCAAATCTTCCCATCTGGCCAGAAAGTTGCCTTGCTCTAAATGTGAGCAAAATCATAAGCCAACCAACAAAGAGAATGGTCCAGAAATGTAGAAACTCAAGTTCAAAGCCAAAATGACAATACTGATAAATCAAAGTAGCAATTAAAAAAATGCAATTAGGCAGCATCTTTACCAATTAACTAAATAGTTCCAGAGCCTTCTTTATGCTACTGAGACCATTTGACATTATCTTACCATGACCATACTACTAACACTTTGACCTTCAAAGCAGACTGGCCTCAAAGCAGACTACCTACTGGAACCGTCTCACTGCAGTCAACACCCTGGAATATATTTAGACTCAGTTTCTCGGCCCATGCTCTAGCAATATTTACTTTACTGGTGTAGACAGCCTAAGATGATTTTATGAAGACAAGGACCCATGGTGCATGTACACCAAGTCCAAACTTCATCAGGATTTTATGCAAGTTATGGATAAAAGTGTATAGAAAGTTTGAGATCAGAAAGATTTATTAGACCAGGAATTGATGTGCCATTTCACGTTTTTGCTTTAGGCTATGTGCTAGATACTATCAAGAGTGAGCTGGGAATTTTCAGAGGGCCACTTTGAAATAGTGAGGTCATCTAAGACGTTTATCAAAGATAAGCGTGAGGAAACATCCTAGAGATGCTTCTTTCTTTGCTCGGACCAAAGAGGGAAATACATGACTTGCTGAGGCTACAGATTTATTTTTTTTTTTATAGCCATTAGCTGGTATCTGCAAAAATCAACATGTAAAGAATTGTTTCAAAGAGCTGGTGACAGACCAAACAGATTTGTTAGTCCTGTAAAGCCTCAGAATGAGGTTGCACGTTCTTTAGCACAGCCAGCTATGCCACTCTTCCTTCATTGGCTGTGCAGACTTTTGTGCCCCAACATCTCAACATCTTTTAGTTAGCAAGATTCTGATAAAGCATGAAGCACCTACCATGCCCGGTTCACAAATGTGCACGTTCCTGTTTATGCTTCCACATTACTTGTGTGCATCCTATACATGGACAAACACATCTAGACAAACACCACTTCTATTCTCATGCAGTGATGCACACACATATGTATACCACCTATGTCTAGGTATAATTTCTCTTATACACACACACACATACACTCTCCAAAATGCCTGACTACACTTGCACACCAAGGAAGACATACTTATTTATACGGGATACTCATAGATGGATTTTAATGGGCTACCTAGGCTTGTGGAAAAATAAATAATTCCTCATTACATGCACACAAAGTAAACGTGAAACAAGGCAACTAATCCCCAGGGATTCTTGTCTTTAAAGAAGAAATAGCAGTCAGGATAAAATGCTGAAGACTTCAGCTACAAAAGCTGTCAACCGGTACAGCTCCCACCCTTCTTTCTTTGCTTCACTTCAGAAGATTAGTGTACAAAGCTTCTGTAGGCAGCTTCTGGATCATTCAGTGCTTTCTTTCATGCCTGCTGTAGGCAATAAATGTTGGACTGAAGATAGGCACCCAGAAGAGCACAGGTCTCGATCCTACACAGATGCTTCCTTGGGCTTGAATCAGACAGCATTCTCTGATGTCTGTGCTTGGAGAATGATGAGTGCTGCCAGACCCAGAGGCTGAGCTGAGACCATGTTCCTTTTCCATCTACTGTAGAGCAGATGAGGTCAGATTCAGCTTCTGACCCAGACTTCTAACCCTATTCATCTATGTGTTGGTGCTTCCATTTCAGCCAGGTGTATAACTTCTGCTGTAGTCTCTAGAAATCTCATCTGTAAACTCCATGAAGTCTGCATTACAATTAAACAGGCTTAACATAGACATCTACATTAGTGTGACTTCAATTTCTCTCTGAACTCTGTTGACTGAACAGTCTGGTATCGATCTCCAGCTGAATGGGAACTCAGCCAGCCAGTACATGCTAGAGACTTGCATTGTAAATATCTAAATCTAGTGTAGAGAAAAAAAATCCCTTCCTCTAAATCTGACAGCCTTCACAGCTAGGTTATCTGAACCACTTCTACCACTACCTAGTACATGCCTAATGCTAAGAATCAAACATTCAAAGTACAGTGGCCTCCACATCTCTGATCATAGGTTCCACCTAAGATCAGATTTCCAAAAGTACAGATTTTCATTTATTACAATGAAATGAACACAATTATCATGTGTCTATATCTATAGATAAAGAAATTTGCAACTGTATCCCAGGGAAGGATTTGGCCTTAGTTCCATACTCATTGTCAAATACTCTGATGACATCTACAGTAGTAAGTCTAAAATTGGACTGTCTGGATAAGTGATTGGCTCTGATTCTACACATGAATTTAATGTTATTTATGATCAAACCACCAAAGAGCTATTGGTGTTCTACAAATACATCTTGCAGAGGAGAAATACATCTGGAGCAGTGACTCCAGATAGTCATCGCAAAGTTTATATCATGCTTTTTCAATCTTTATTTCTATCTGTATTGCAGAAGTGTGAGCTTTCTCACAATAAGTTCTCTGTCTCTATGCTGTATAAAACTCTAGATTGGGATGCAGCCAAAATATTATGTTTGCCAAGGACAAGCACAGTCTTTCACTGGAATCTCTGACAAGGTTTTGTGGATGTTTTTAGCACGTGTGTATATATGCTTATGCATATGATGTCAGAAAGTCAAAGAGATATTTTTATGACCAGAAAAATTCAGAGGACTCACAGAAATCTTTATTATTAGAACAATTTCTAAGATAATGAAGGATTTTTAAAAAAAACTATAATATCTGTTACCTACAGCAGAATCAGACCTCCAGTACCTTGGGGTAAAAGAGAATTTTCTTCAAGAATAAATTATCCTACAGCTAGTACGTCTATAGTTATGTGCTCCCCTTGCTTGCAGTGTTACTTGCTCAATGTTAATAATTAAGACCAGGGTTCACAGATTGGAAAAGGTCAGATCAAAGCAGTGTTTCCGCTTCCTCTGTTTTAAATCTTCCAGCCCACTCTTCTCTCTGAAGTTTCTCCACTGAGTCCCAGTTCATCAAGATCTGTTAACATGTGTCCAACCCAAAGTACAGGATAGCCTCCATGAACATATCAGAATCGCTGGGTTTGCTCAAACTCCAAACTCAAAGTTCATACAAAGCGTAAAACAGGGAAAATCTTCAAAAAGAGTTGCCAGTGAGCCTGAAAACTGCTGAGTTTTGCACAACTTTACCAGATATACAAAAACAAACCCAGACACTCTTCTACACACTCAGTACAACCATGTTTGTGCAGCTGCTCTTTGAGATGTCCATCTGACCTGAATACAAAAAATTCAGTGCTGCATGAGGAAAGATTTCTCAACATTGTTTGATTTAGAATAGACAATTCCATAGATCCTTACATTTGTAAAGCAACTATCATGCAATACCTGAGCCAGGGTAGTATTACATACGCTTTATTCTGGATTTTTCCCTTTTCATCTGAATATTTTGAAATATCTTACTGCAGAGAAATTATATTTATATTAGTAACTAATAGTAGAGTCAGGACACAGCCATGTACTGACTGCTTTTTTGCAGAAATCCTGAAGTTTTATTGTCGAAGAAAGAAAGAAAGAAAGGAAGGAAGGAAGAAAGAAAATATTTAGATAAACCTTAGTTTCTTTTCAAATGCCTTCTATTATTTACAATTCAGAAGTTCTTCTTCCATAAACCCCACAAAAGACCCCATGTGAGACTTCTGTGTACATGTGCATGTGTCTCTATGTGCAAGAGGGAAAAGCTGGCTTTTTAATTTCTCCTGAACTTAAACAACATTCAAATTCCAATGATGTCAGTAAAGCTGAGATTTCATCTTTATTTTCAGGGCAGAAAGGTTATACAAATCTCTCTTCAGCATTGTAAGTTAGTTGGTCTGGGATTCAGAAGAGGTAAAAGCGCCTCGTTTCATGCTCTGTGAGGGAGACCGTGTTCAATTATCCAAGTGATTAGAGCAAAAAAGGGGAGTGGAATAGTCAGAGAAAGCAAAAAGATGGATGTAAACAAAACACATACATAAGGCTTTGAGAATAATTCACTATAGAAAAGCTTGAAAATGCTGAACCAGAGTAATCCTGACCTACAACAGATGAAGACAATAATGCGAAGAGACGCAGGAGCTCTGAGACACCCACTCAGAGACGATATGGTGCAGGCAGTTGTGATGGAAAACAGTGAAGCCTTGGATAACCCAAAACACCCATAATCCTGCCACTAACTCAGCAGAGCTGAATGGTGACATTGCAGGCCAACAGTTTCTTCTGCTGAAGCTGGAACAATGCTCACCAGCACAAGTCCCATTTTTTTTTTCCTGATAATGGTGTGCAGGTATATCTTGACTGTAAAAAAGCATGTCAGTATGGGAAATGGTTTGGATTAATTTGTATATCACCCATCTCTCTGGTAGTTTTGAACTTCCCAAACATTTAATGCATTCAACCCTCTCCAGATCAGAGAATCAAAGCAGATGAACCAATCCCTTTCAGTTGCATAGATCCCTGCAGTAAAGAAGAGAAATGCTTCTGTCACATTTCAGAGAAAGAATGGAGACATGTAGAAATTAATATCCTGCAAAATATATGTGAAAACTAATCTATTAAGCTGTGTGGGTATGGCCCTGGACACTGGAACACAATTGTCTGTAATGTTTGATTGCTACCGTGGTTCCTTTGTATGTATTTCACACACACAGAATCACACACAGAATCGCTCGGTTGGAA